ATAGTATTGTAGCTGAGAATAATTATGAAGGCAGAAGGGGAAAGACAATGGATAAATGGACGGATGAAGGAACTGATGAAAAACATCAATTTCTTTTTAAGCAGCAGTTATAAATAACATTTTCATAATAACCTCATTTTTTTAAAAGAAAAGTTCATACTAGAAACAACACTGCAGATATAGATAATCTATTTCAAGCAAACAAAAGAAGAAGAATTAAAAGAAAAGTTATGATTGGTTGATTTCCTAAGACTATTTTTATGAACAGTATCAGATGTGATTTTTCTCACTGGCTGTGAAAGCCAGCTTACAGTATACAGCTTGGTGGGAAATTGATTTCTGTCACCTTTGCTAGGCCCCATTAAAATGAAGTAAACTTTCAATCGAAATCTAGTTTTTAACATGACCCAGGAGCTAGGTGATATAAACAAATTACAAATTGTTTCCAAAATAGCAATTTTAAGACACAAATTACAAGCAAAATAAAATGAAAGTTACAAAACCAAAATAATTAACAAAAAGTTATCCTAACATTTTAGTAACATTGAAGTAATGGTACATAAAAAGCTGAAGGACAAAAAAAAATAATCACCACAATTACGTTTAAGCAGTAATTAAAGCAAAAGTAATAATTATAAATTAAAGCTGCATTACAAATTAATGTATAAAAGTAAAGTCGCTGATGATATGTTTTCATGTGTCTGCCATTCAAAAAAGAAATAACAGAAAAAATTATTATAAAATGTAAAGAAATCACACAGGTAAAATTTATACTAACAACTAAAATAGTCAAACAAGATTAAAGTAACATTAAAATGCGATATTTGAACTCATCTCTATAGGTATCAATCCCTAAATCATTGACACATCTCTTGTATGTAGGCTAATAATGTCTGCCATATAAAAATCCTGTATTCAGATTGTCATTAGCATCTTCATCTGAACATCTCAAAAGTGCTCTGCAGGCAGAACTGTCCAGGAGACCAGTGGTGCCTTCTGTATGACTACTAGCAGCATGGAGGTGATGGCGGTAACATGAGCTTTCATATGGCTGGCATCTCAGGGCTATTCTCATGTATGTGTACTGAGTGATTCCATGAGCATGATCCAGTGGGTCGAAGCAGTCTTTGTACACAGACAGTGGATAGAGTCATTGCAAAACTCAACTGTGCGTGTAGTTACCTTCATGTTTGTACCAGGGTATGTGTGTGTTGTTGGCAATGAAAGAGCCAACAGATAAGAGGGCTCTGTCTTAGTTACAGGGGGCCAGCCCATGGATCATGCCAACACTGTTAATGCCATTAGAGAGTTCGGAAGTTCTGAGGGTTTTGGGAGCAGCATTTCAACATCTTTGCTAAGAATGCTAGAATTGGGAGTAAATATCGGCACAGCCGGGCACAAGAAGCACTCAGGACGCATGAGAAGTCTTGTCAACCAACACAGGACTGGGACTATCAACTGCGGAATGCTTTTTTTGTTCAAAAGCTAAATCTTGCTTTCTCTTTACATGCATCTCTTTTGGTCAAAAGCTGAACACGTAAGTATATTAAAAACATTGTTTCTTTATTAATATCTTACCCCAAACAGGGGGAAATCCACAGGTCACGGGAGAGTATATTATTACAGGGGGTGGTAGATAGACTGCATGCAATCATGGGACCTAGGCTGCACTCTCTTGTGGGACGTAGGTGGGTTGGGGTTAGGGCCAGTTCTAGATGTTTTGGGGTCATTAAAAGCATAAGAAAGCCGGGAAACCCAGTCTTACCACCCTCTAAAATGTGGGACTGTCCTGTGACGTCATCTGGGGTAGGATATTAATAAAGCACTAAAACATCTCTTTTGATCAAATGCTGAACACTGTAAGTATATTTAAAAAATTTCTTTTGATCAAAAGCCAATCTATCACTGCTGTAAAAACATCTCTTTTGATCAAAAGCCACTCCATCACTGCTGCAACCAGAGAGATAAATGTAGGTGGGTGATATCTGTAGCAGTGAACCTCAAAGGCTCGGAATGCTGAAAATGAAGAAGTAGCATGAGTGATAGGGTAACCTAGCAAGCAGACGCCTGCCTACTGACCAAAAGGTCTAGGGTTCAAATTTACACTTCTCCCAGGCTGACGGGTGCATAATTCCAATCCCAATATATGGAAGTGAATCATGGACAGTTAGCAGTTTAGTGAAAAATTATGAAGAAGCAGAAGTGATGTGGTTTTACAAGTGAAAAATTAGAACTGACCACAAATTTGAAAAAAAAAATTTTTAATTTAAATAAACAATAAAAAAACCTGCCATTACTGCTTGGATTTACCACTTTTGCGGGCTAAGGGATGGGGTCTTTGAGCCTGGGGATTCAGGGCCACAGGGCTAGTGCTGTCGTCTTGAACTGTGCAGGTTAGGATTCTTTTTCTGGTACCGACAGAAATAAAAAAAAATCTTCAACCTCACTGAGGATCTGAACTTGGGTCTGCCACATGACATGCCAGCATTCTTAACCATTTGGCCGGCCCCTCCTGAGAACACCCTGGACAAAATATGCTAGTGTTGCTTCTGCAACATCCAGTAAAGCAGGGTTATTTAACTGGCGGACCGCAGGCCAAATCTGGCCCGCAGAGGTAAAGCAGGTAGTCTGCGGATCACTGCCAGCTGTATTATATTAATGATCTTTCTATGCTGGGACTCAGGCTTCTGGGGCGTGAAGATCCTCATTTTCAAAATGTTGGTCCCTGAGTAAACTTTGCTGAATAAAATAAGTAATGTTAAAGGACCCTTTTCCACGCCTTTAGGTGTATAGGGCATATAGGGTTAGACCTATATTTTTCTAGAACACAATCGGCACAGGATGGGTGATGTGGTCAGCATCACACCGGCCACCTTTACTTCCCGGGACTGGACCCGGTACCCACTCAAGGCTGGGTCGACCTTGGAGCCAAGGTCATTTTTGAAAAAAGTACGGCCCCTGAGCAAACTTGGCTGAATTAGCCGCCCTACTGTAAAGGATAGGCAACTAACTTTAATTGAAAGAAAGAAATTCATGAGCAGGACAAATTACCTAATTTAGAAAACAAAAAAGAATATATATTTTTTGGTCATGTCTTGGGAAGGAGAAAACTGGAATACACTGTGAAGGTAGGAAAGTTAGGATTTCTTGACTATCCAAAAACATAATGCCAAATTAGGATTTCTTGACCACCCGAAAACGTAATGCCAAAGTTAGAATTTCTTGACCATTCAAAAACATAATGCCAAATTAGGATTTCTTGACTATCCAAAAACATAATGCCAAGTTAGGATTTCTTGACTGTCAAAAAACATAATATCAAGTTAGGATTTCTTGACTATTCAAAAACATAATGTCAAATTAGGACTTTTCGACTGTCCAAAAACATAATGCGATGTTAGGATTTCTCGACTGTCCAAAAAACATAATGTCAAATTAGGATTTCTTGACTATAAAAAAAAAACATACTGTCAAAATAGGATTTCTCGACTGTCCGAAAACATGACATGAAATTAGGATTTCTTGATTGCCCAACACAAAACAAGTTAGTTACGATTTCTCAACTGCACTAAAAAATGAGGTTAGGATTGAACTATACATGTCTTGGATTGCTGGAAGAGCCAAAAGCAAGTCACATTTGATTCATTACATAAATAACATTTTTTAAAATAAACTATTCAAAAGAACAACAAAATAAGCAGCATTTTTGTGTGATGTTTGGCTGTTGAAAACCACTGTGTCAAAACAGGATACAATTAAGCAAGGTATGGCACATAATATAAAGAAATGCAATTATGAGCTATTCAAAAGTGTTGCTTAATGCATCTGCAGTATCTATCTGAATGTTGGGAGAGCCAAAGTAACGTAATGGCTGGACGCTCGCCTTTCGGCTCAAAGGTTTTAGGTTTGAATCAATATCAAGATTTTTGAAAATAAAACTTTATTTTAAATTTCAAAATCGACTTTGGCTCTTAGTTTGAGCCAGCCTTAAACAGGCAGCAGATAATATCCTAGGAAGTCCCCATGTAAGGGACTCTAAACATTTGGAGTCAACAAACTGGAAAGAGACCAAACAGACAGAAAAAAAATTGATATCTGCAACAATTAACCTCCATGACTTGAAATGCTCAAAAAAGAAGAAGTCTTTCCATTTATGATGAAACTTGATGTTGTTACAGGCTCTCAATAACAAACTGGTGAAACTTGATGTTGTTACGGGCTCTCAATAACAAACTGGTGAAACTTGATGTTGTTGCGGGCTCTCAATAACAAACTCGTGAAACTTGATGTTGTTACGGGCTCTCAATAACAAACTGATGAAACTTGATGTTACGGGCTCTCAATAACAAACTGGTGAAACTTGATGTTGTTACGGGCTCTCAATAACAAACTGGTGAAACTTTATGTTGTTACAGGCTCTCAATAAGAAACTGGTGAAACTTGATGTTGTTACGGGCTCTCAATAACAAACTGGTGAAACTTGATGTTGTTACAGGCTCTCAATAACAAACTGGTGAAACTTGATGTTGTTACAGGCTCTCAATAACAAACTGGTGAAACTTGATGTTGTTACGGGCTCTCAATAACAAACTGGTGAAACTTGATGTTGTTACAGGCTCTCAATAACAAACTGGTGAAACTTGATGTTGTTATGGGCTCTCAATAACAAACTGGTGAAACTTGATGTTGTTACGGGCTCTCAATAACAAACTGGTGAAACTTGATGTTGTTACAGGCTCTCAATAACAAACTGGTGAAACTTGATGTTGTTACGGGCTCTCAATAACAAACTGGTGAAACTTGATGTTGTTACGGGCTCTCAATAACAAACTGGTGAAACTTGATGTTGTTCAGGCTCTCAATAACAAACTAAATGTAGCTGTACATCTTGGATGGCAAAATGCAGTCTGTTAGTTTGAATGAAGTCAGGAATAAATGGCTTGTCTGGCTTGTCTTGCTGCTAGAGGTTCACCCTGAAGATACCCAGCAGGACTCCCTTGCTACAAATTCAGCAGTGTTCGTAACTGGAAAGAAAATCATTCAATATTTAATTGGGTTAGGCCCGCCAAGGCCTAGCAAGTGGCCCGCAGATCACCTGCCAAATGTATTGTGTTAATGAACCTTTATGTTGGAGCTTGTGTTTCTGGCCCACGACATTTCCATCTTTCAATATTTTGGTCCATGAGCAAACTTAGTATAACCCTGGGTTAGACATAAAGGCTAAAGTAATCTTATGGTATACAATAAAGTATCTAAAAAATTTTCTTTTTAAACTGAGATATGTATGGATAAATGGTAGGTGAATTCTGCAAAACAATATGAACAAATACATAACCAAAGCTACCCAGCAAATGCAAGATACACATAAAACCACAACACTAGGCAACAGCCTGGTGTCAGTGAGACGACAAAACTACGACACTGGGCTACAACCTGGTGTCAGTGAGATGACAAAAGAAGAAAAAGAAGACACTAAAGAATGGGTAAGAGGCGATAAGTAATTACATTAAAGTTAAAGGTAAAGTAACGAGATTCAGCTTCAATGCAGTGGGTGTATCCCAGACAGCTTGGTCTATCTCTGCAGTAGAGTTGGCTGTCTGCCAAGATTGTCTCATAAAGCACAAGTTCCACAGCTCTGGTGATGATCCCTGTACAAAAACTGCACTCATGAACAAAATGACATGTCCAAGAATTTACAAAGTAGAAGGATGTGATTGATAGTTCTTTTCCTTATTGTTGATTCTCCCCAAAAAGATATCTTCTTTTCCTTTTCTTTTTCTTTCTCTGACTATAAACTCCAGCAGAAAGTTCTGGTTTTTTGTTCACTTCTGGAATTTGGTCTTGTTTCAGAACTTCAAGTTTTAAATGCACAGCCATTCTACGGAACTGGTGTTTTTGTATGCAGACTGTTGGTTCCTTAGAGATGCACTCCGACTTTGAAAGAAACATCCCTCATTAGTCCATTTTTATGACACACTTGTTACAGGGCAGTAAGTAAGTAAAAAGGTAAAGGACTCTTTTCCACTCCTTTGGGCTTATAGGGTATATAGGGCTAGACCTATATTTTTATAGACAGATTGGCACAAGATAGAGAGCAGTGGGTCTATTTAATTCCCTCTACTATGGTCTCCCAGAAGCCACATGGGGACAGTTGTGACACACAGAGAGAACGGAAGATAACAGACAAAATCTGTGTACTTAAAAGAGTTGAATGGGAGTAGATCACGAGGTGGAACAAGAAGATTGTGGATAGATAATATACAGGCAGACCTACAAACACTTGGAGTCACCAGTTAAAAAATAAATACCAATTACACAGATGCATCGAGGCGGGTGATATCTTCAGCAACCTCAAAGGCCTGAAATGCTGAAGAAGAAAAAAGACGAGGAAGAGGAGAAGAAGGATGAAGAGGAGAAGAAGAAGATCATAAAGAAGAAGAAAATAATGAAGAAGAAAATGATCATTAAGAAAATGAAAAAGAAGATTATGAAGAAGAAGAAAGTGAGGAAAAAGAAAATGATGCAGAAGAAAATAAAGAAGAAACTTATAAAGAAAAATATTTTGAAGAAGAAAATTATTAAGAAGAAAAATTAATAACAAGAAAATTATGAAGAAGACAACGAAGAAGCAGCAGAAGCAGCTGCAGCACTATATATGCTTGATGTACCACTAGCATGAAGAAGGTCCTTTACTTTTACTTTACCTCAAACTCGGCAATTTTTCATTCAGCCCTTGCTTTCTGACCAGTTGGCACACGATACAACTGGCAAAATTAACTTCAAGTGGTCTGCTGTTAAACTTGATATTTGTAAAATACTTTAACATCATCATCATCATGTAGCAGGTCCTTTGCATACTTTGCTCCAATCACGTTCTGCCTGAAATAAACTTCCGCCAGTTCTGTCACCTCGTGCACTTTCATACCCAAGGAGTCATTTATATCCTGTGCCCATCCTGGTGTTGGTCGACCCCTGGCCCCCTTTCCTGGTACCTTTCCTTCTGCTATTACATTTTTCAATCCACCATGACATGTGATATGGCCACAAATATTTCAGAATACTTACATGGTGAATATATATCAGACAGGTCACATACAAGGCTACGATCACAAACAGCAGGACGTACTGAGTGTAGTTCAAGAATTCCTGCAAAAGAACCATATAATTTCACACTTTATAATTACTGTTTATACAATTATAGAATATACTTTTAAGATATCTATTTTATTAACTCCCAAACAACACATATGTGACTGACTGACTGACTCTCTATGGCACCCCCCCCCCCCTCCCCCCTTTTCCTGTATATATACTGTTCAACAAGAAAAATGCATAGCTACTAAAAGAAGCATAATTATGTCATAACTGCACCACTGGGTAGTGAATTAAACATAACAAGGCAGATGTGGTCAAGGCCCTTTGGGAACAAGCAACAGAATCAGTAGAGAAAGAAGATTATTTTGGCCTGGAGAGAATGAGGCACTTGGGTGTAACCAGAGGGTCTGGCCAGATCACTACACTTACAGGAAAGGCAAGACGGACATAAAACCAGGTTGTGACCGGTACCATCAGTATTGGGACTCTGCGCTGGCTGCTGAAGATGAGGACAGAACATGCATAGAAATGCCCTGAGTGCTGTGATGTCAATTCTTGACTCAAATCAACTCAAATTTTGTCATAAATGTCAACAGTCAAAATCATAGTAATTTAAGTAATGAAACTGATGAAATTGCACACTAGAGTACCCTAGGGTTCAACCAACCAACTGATAGTTCTTTCACATCTGGGTCACTGATAGGTTTTTAGACACATGGGCTTTCCCGTCAACTACTAAAAATAAGCCATAAGATAACTGTTTCTTTTTCTTCTGTTTAAACAGTATACATACATACATACACACCTAGCTAGTTAGCTGTTTGTATGTATAGTGTGTGTGTGTGAGTGTGTGTGTGCGTACGTGTGTGTGTGTGTGTCTGTGTGTGTGTGTGTGTGTGTGTGTGTGTGTGTGTGTGTGTGTGTGTGTGTATGTAGGTGCACACATGTACACTTTAGTATGAAAGGAGTTAAGACATACCAGGAAATTGGTGTAAACTTCATTTCATTTCAATATATTCACTCCTTAAAGTGACACACTATCGCCTTTTCTTTGGCCATTGTTCAAATGTAAATGAAGACACAACAGACATCAAAACCTTTTACATATCCTTTAAATCTAGGACACACCTGTATAAAACACACTTACGGTAGACAGTCAGTTAGACCTGACATATTTCTAAGAGACTTTTCTTCTTTCTTTGTCTTACTGCCTTTGCCGTAAAATGTAACAGAGGTGTTCAATACAGTTCCCTTTCTGTTGCTTGTTATCTCTAAGACTCTGAAGATAAAAACCTTGCTTATAAACGGCAATATTCCTGGGGGAAAAAAGCAAGGGGAAGGGAAAGAGATGAATATCCAGCTAGCTTGGTTATGTGGATGGAGTGAGTGACATGAGCAATAACCTCATCTGTAATTCTAGTGATCATAAGATATGGCAAAATACCACTGCCCCTGCTTATCGGCAGGGCATACGATAAAGTTGAATTTTAGAGGATCAACTTTAATGCAACAGGTTTTAACCTTCATAGCGCCCGGCTCTCTAGCTCAGTTGGCTAAACCGGACTGCGGGGTGACTGGGTGACGAACTCCTTGTGGTCTGGGTTCACGCCCGGGGGTAGGCAGAAAAGCCATATTTCTCCCAGATTTGCGGTACCTATCATGGAATCAAGGCCGAAGGGTTGCGATTGCCAAAGTACCGAGCCAAAGGGTGAAGAACTCATGGTTTCTGGATACTTAAAAAAAACCTTTACAGCTCTCTCTCTCTCTCTCTCTCTCTCTCTCTCTCTCTCTCTCTCTCTCTCTCTCTCTCTCTCTCTCTCTCTGCAGAACAGCTAGCCACCTGCACACCACGCATGACACAAAACAAGAACTAAGCAGCTTCGGTGATGATCTCCAAGGATCTTCCTAAACGGCATTTGTTAACTGAGCAATTCAGCCGTAAATGAGCCTATGACCTTCAAGGCGCAAGGCAAACGGCTAGATCACCTCGCTATGAAGACCCCTGCGATTTTAACAATCTTACTCTGTATGGCAAACCAACAGGGTGAATCCTTGATACCTCATTCAGACCCCAAAGAGCACATCTGATGATGGTTATGATAAATCAAAGACAGAATGTCAGCTTACCCAAATTTTGTCAATAATGATGGGAATGAGAATATACTGCAGTAGTGCTTGACCTTCCAGGAGTCTCCAGAGGTAGAACAAGATGACAGTAGTTGTTGAGTGACACAGTTCATTTTGCAGAAGCTGCCCAGATACAAAACAAACAAAACTAGTTTATACTTTTCTCATTTCTAAGTAAAACATGTTAGTTCTAGGAATCTGTTACAGTGTTTGCGAAAAAACATATGAATTTTACATAAAATATAAAATGAACACACAGTAAATCCTTGTTAACACAAATTCCAAGGAACTAAAAAATCAAGAGTTTGTGTAACAGAAAAATGTGTGCTAACCTGGGTAATAACAGATGTATTAATGAATAGTATGTCCCTGCTGGGGAATAAATGTGTTCATGTTATCTGAGTGTTTGTCTTAAGTGAGTTTATATAATGAGGTTTAACTGTAACTTTGTTTACAGTGCTAGGTGGTGGCGATGATGGTGATAGTGATTATAATGATGATCTGATGGCAATAATGATAATGATGATGACAGCAATGATGATGATGATTATAGTGGCAAGAATGATGATGATGGTGGTGGTGGCAAGGATGATGATGATGGTGGTGGTGGTGGCAAGGAGGATGATGATGATGGTGGTGTTGGTGGCAAGGATGATAATGATGAGGGTGGAGAAAAGATCCAAAGTATGCTCTCTACCCGTAACCTTACTAAGTGAAGCTTGCCACTCTGCTCGAAGTAATTCTGTCTTCATCTTTTTAGCATGCTTTCACCATGATGGTGGTAATGAAGATGATTTTGACAATAATAAAGACATTACAGGCGTCATCAGTCGTTTTACACTTGTGAAGCTTTTGAGGAGGAGATCGGAGCACCTATGGATTTGTCCGGAGTGCTTTGATGGTAATCCTTTCTAATCAGTGATCACTAAAGACATTATGAATTGTCAAGCTTCTATCTTCAATCAGCAGATAAACACCTTACACATGACCTAATTCAGCAAGTCATGTGACTGAAAATATTAAAAGAGTCACCTAAAGAATACTTTGTGCAACAAAAAAAAAAAGCTTGTTGAGGTGTGTAGAGATAGGTGTTCTTCACACATAATGGCAAGTATCACTTCAGAAGTCCTGGGTAGTTAGCATCCTTTGAATATTTTCTCTCGGGGAAGGGATTTGATGGCAAATGAACAGGCAGATGGACTGGCTGGTTCTGCACAGCTTGGTGGTAAACTGATGCATGTCAAGCTAGATGTATCAAGGCGCTGGGGGTGGGGGATGGAGGGGGGGGGGGGGGGTAAGATAACAGTGTAAAAGTACAAACAGTTCATAACAGTTTGAAGAGAATGGTGTAGTGGGAAGAGACCCGGGATATGGCTGACACTCAATACATAGGGGTAAGTTAAGATGGACATATATTCAGAGTGCTACAGGTAACACCAGAAATGAAACTCTGTGCTGTCTGCTGAAGATGGGGACAGTGCACTTATGGTAACATCATGAGTACTATGATTTGGGCTCTTAATTTAACTCTTTGCAAACCAACACACAGATCACACAGTCATCTACAGAAGACACTTACTGAAGTCTTTGGATCACTAAGGGGTTTCTGAAAGATATCCGTGAAATCAGCAACTGTCAAGTCCCAGAACTTTCCAGCACAAGCCAGGCACATACCATAGCAAAACACTTTCCAGAATAGATGCTTCTTACTGTACGTCTCCCTGCTCTGAGTTTGACCATTCGTGGGAATACCGGGCTTTAGGCTCAGCTCCTGATTCTTATTCCATGATGGGAGCTCCTGCTTGTAGGGATCGAATCGTTTCCAGAGGTAAAAGAGAATCCCAAAGCAAAGAAAGACACCCCCAAGAGCATCACAAATTATATCTACATAGTATCCCGTTGTGGACTTCACAGACTGGAACTGTAAGTGGGTGCCAGACTGGGATCTGTAAACGACCCCATCAAATGAATCCAGCCAGGATCTGATTTCAAAGATGACCACACCAACCCTGCGATCATACAAGTTCTCGGAAGCAATGAACTTCCCAGACACCAGTCCTAGGATGAGATGTGTAATGGAGATCATGTTCGGAGTCACAAAGCTGAAAGTCGTGGAGAATTTGGTTATCTGGTCAAAGTACTCGGCACTGGGGTTAATTATGTACTGGCTGGTGTGGTCATTCATGAGTGCCTTCACTGACAAATGAGTGAACGAAGAAAATGACTCCTCCGCTGGGCCTGGTTTGGAATCCTCCACAATGTTGATTGTCTTAAATCTCCTGTACAAGAAGATATCCATGATAAAGTAATATATCACAAGGATGGTACCAAAGAATATGCAAGTTGTTTTAGCATCCCGGAAGATGCTGGAGATACAGAGGGGCATCTTTGATGAGGCTTCACAGCAGCAGACTCTCCGTGGGCAGGATGGAGGTGGTGTCCAGTATGCAGTCAGTTGAGGACATGGACACAAGAGGCAGGTCTTTTGTCTGTGGATAATATACATGGACATGTTAGATGGGGAAATTAAACAGGGAAATTAAAGGTAAATGAAATTTTAGACTTTAAAAAGTTACAAAAATAAATGTATCATCTTCTCTTTCTTCTTCTCTGCGGCTAATTATCTCCCACTGGAGTAGAGCCCTTGCAATTATTATTTTATGAGTAGTTGCACCATAATGTAGTAGAGATTTTCAACAGTGGTTTCTCCTTGCCTTCTAGATGCTCAATAGATTAGAGGTTAGTGAATTATTGTTCTTCTTTGCGTTCACCGTCTGTGAAGTCCGGCAGAAAGTTCTGGGTGGTCGTCCATCTATGGACTTTATTTAGCCTTGTTCCAGAACCTGAGTTTTTTTGTGCACATCCATTTCACATATCTGGCTTATTTGTATGCAGACTCTTTGTTATTTACCTTTCAGGCAGATGTACTCCAACTTCGAAAGATACCCCCACTTAACTATCTCCTACGTTGTGCGTGTTAAGGAGTCAGTAGATCTATTCCTATTTTCCCTCACAATGAGTTCTGGGAACCCACACTAGGAGATTAGTGAATAATTTATATCAACTTCATAAATTTCAAGAGACTAAGTTTCAATTTCCGAAGCCGACGATTTGGTGCATATCCCGAAAATCACCTTATCTTTGTGGCATGAGATTTCATATAGGCTCCCATTCATGCTGCGGCCGTTCCTACAGGTTGTTCTGTGTTCTAGAAATGGCAGCATGTAAGACGATTTATGCGGAAAACACACAAACATTCTCAGGGCTTCCGGATAGTG